ATTTTGCTCATCCTATCGATGGACGTAGCGTGAGGCCAATCTCGAGGTTGGAGACTTACCTGGTGGCCGGTGCGTTGCTCATCCTATCTATGGAACACTATCTCTCTCTCTCTCTCTCTCTCTCTCTCTCTCTCTCTCTCTCTCTCTCTCTCTCTCTCTCTCTCTCTCTCTCCTCCCGTTCGTGGGACATCCCACCGACCCCGGACTATCACTGCGCTTGCTGCACTTCGCTTCCAGCACCCCGCGCTTACGCTGCGCTTCCCAGCACCCCCACTCGTGCACAGGAAACGGCACGTGGCGGCGAATTTCCGTAGGTCCGACGCGCCCACGTGGCGCTTCACAGGAGGCTGCGAATTTGAGTAGGCCCTACATGACGCTTATGGCTAGGCTGGCGTGCGGCAACAAATTTGTTTTCTCACTCCGCGCGAAGGGTGGAGGGGCTGGTGGGCGGCAGCGAATTTCCCTAGGCCCAACATGACGCGCGACACCGAATTTCCCTGGGCCCGCTGGGAAGCGTCATGTTGGGCCCTTTGGGACTGCTGTATTGTACGCCAGTAAGGACTGCCGCGTTTTGGGCTGATGTTCCCGCATTTGGGACTGGGACCAGTGCCGAACTGACGGCGCTGCCACTTGAGGAGCTGGCACAGGTTCCTGCGCTCGTCACAGTTACATGCTCTCTGCATGAGGACTGTGTTAGGGTAAGAGACTGGGACTGCAGCAGGACGAAGATTAGGTGGACGAGGGGCAAGCAGTTGGGCTTCTTTGAGGCTGACGATCCCAGCCTGCAGCTCTTGGTTCCGCTGCTCTAGAGCTGTCACACGGGACTCAGATCTTCCAAGGTCTGCAGTTGAACCAAGACTGCTATGGCAGCAGCTAGCTTCTCTCTGAACCGGGCATCAGTAGACTCTGGAACCTGGAGGAGAGCCACTTGGGCAGCAATACTTGCGGGCTTCTGCCTCCTCTCTGTGTAATGCGTCCTCGTAAAGTTTATGAAAGAAAGGTTTCTCGCTCTCGTTCGCCGCGTCCAGCATGGCCTGCCATTGGGCAGATGAGATGTCTGCCATGCTGGAGGATGGGGTATCAACAGATCTCTCAAGAGGGATCCACTCTTTACTCACGTTTGGACGAACGCTCCTCTTACCCCTCTTCACACTCTCAAAAATAATACCTTCTTTCTCCCTTCTCTCTCTTTCTGTTTTCTGAGCACGCGCCTCAATACTGGACATAAATAGTTCAGATAAAAGAAAAACAAATAAATCACGAAGAGCAGAAGGTAGAACTCCTAGCCGGAGCGGCAATTCATTTGGGCTTAGAGAATGGCATTCACGCAGCAGAAATTAAAAAAAATAAAACAAATGAAAGAGAGGACTGACTTAACGGGGCCCGATCAGATTAGCTGGAGATCCCCTCTTGTCTAACCCGACAAAGAACATGTACCACGAATAAGTCACCCGAAGAAAATGAATTGCAGCAATGGAGATATCGAGGGGTGCAGACGGTCGCCGAGCCAGACGCAGGGCAGTGTGTGAGAACATGCAGTAAGACCAGTCAAGATCCCCTTGAAAGGAATGTCCTTGCTTGCCGTGTGTCCCCCAAATTCAGCACAGCAAAAAGATGCATTGATGGCAACAGATTTGGGTCCTAAATGTCCTGTCCCATTGGGCCTGGTCCCTCTGAGTCCTGAAGGGTCCCAAGTAGGTCGTGGACCAGGCCCAATGAGATAGGTGTACCAAGTCAGTCCCAAACTGCCTCTGCGGTACTGAAAAGGAAAAGACAACTTTCAGCAAGAACCTACCCCTACAGCGGTTCAGAAGTGAAAAGACAATGCACTGTAGAAAGATATGTCATTGAGAACAAGATGCATCATCCATCCATCCATCAGGTGAGAAAGCAATCCACATGCTCACACACACAACCAAGACCACAGAGAAGAGGAAGAGAGCCCAGCACACCCCAACAGGCCATGAAGCACCAAGCAACCACCCACGGGCATACCCAAGTCACACGGCACTTACCTGTGAGCCCCAGCCTCCAAAGATGGATAACGACTCACCCCCCTCTCTCATAGGTCCTCCTGACCCCTAGCTACCACTACACGGTGTCCTAGCATGACTAAGAGGGCCTCCCTACAATCATGTTACAACGCCGGATCCTCCGTCGATGTTGAAGACCAAAGTAGCAACTTGCAGCTCTTCGATGCAGATATGGCAGCCTCCGATCAAGTCTCAAAAGTCACTCAATGTCTTCTTGAAATCCAGATTCCAGGTGTGAGTACCTCTCACTCTCTACTCCCTCTCGCTTACTCCAATCAGCCTCCTTTGTGTCTTGCCACCCCAGTCAATCACGCAAGCAACCTGGTCAGGTCTGATGTCGACCCTACATGACCTAACCAGGTGGGGGCAGCATCCACATACCTCACTGCCCCTCTTAACCCTAACCTCCAACCCTAATACGAGATTAGGTTAGCCCTAACCTAATTCGGAATTAGGGTTAGGGTGACTATCACCTCGCGCCAGCAAGTAAGTCTGCTCTGATACCAATTGTTACGATCCTGGTCATTCCCAAAGTGCAAATTCACAATGAAAGACAATGCCACCCAATTGCGAAAGAAATGAGAGCACTTGCAAAGAGATAGAGACCAAAGAAGAGAGAAAGAAGAAGAAGAAGAAGATGTACACCAGCAAGACCAATGACAGACCCCCCTTCTCTCTCCACCTTCCTCCTCCTCCTTCACTTCGCCAATCTTATTCTTCTTCCAATAATAATAATAACAATGAGTGGATGAACCAGAATCAATATCTGAAGTTCCTTCTTACTGCTGACACAACAACAGGTCCACCATAGCTATGGCTTCCCCCCTTCTTCCTCCTCTCTCATGCCTATGCTATGGCGGACTACTAAGGGCTCTGCCCTCCTGTGCAGAGGACAACGCAAAGCAGCTATGTCGCTGCACTCCTGTCCAAAGGACAACCCAAAGCAGCTATGCCGCTGCTCACTAAGCTGCCATGCCTGACTCTGCCTCGAGCTTCCTTGGTGTGGCACTACCCCAACTGGGGCCTTCCATGCAGTGCCCAACAAGGTGATGAAGATGGTGTCCACCATAGCCAGGTAGGTACCTTGCCACTCTCCTCCTTTGCCCCCTTCTTCCTCATCCTGAGACTGGGCTGCTCGCCATAGCTAGGCTGAGCGCTCAGCTGCTCTTCTCCTCCAGGCAGTGCTTCCCAAGTCCAGCGCTTGGCTCCAGCAGCATGTTGTCAATCCTTGCATACCGCAGATGAGGAGGAGCTGCTTGCTCCTGAAGATATAGCGTATTACTGGCCTCTTGGGCGGTGACTTCCTAGGCCGAGCAGCCTCCCAGCAACCGGTACCTCCTCCCTTTCGGAGGGAAACATCATTGCAGGCTCTGCTATCGTCCGGACAGACCCTAGACTCAGGCTACTTGGACTGGTACCGGCCTACCTCTAACCTACGGCTTCTGGGCCACTAAAAATGCCAACTTTTGTCTTGTTCTGCTCGGCCTCCAGTACCCAACACTTCTACCACTACTTGAGTGGTACCGGCATATCCCGCTTCTCTAAGTGTCGCGGGCCTACCTCCGCTACTTGAGTGTTTTCCCCGCTGCAACCCTCAAAGTCATGGCCACACGTAAGTACCAAGCCCTGAGGGGCCTTTGAACCAACAAGTACCCTTGTGGGTCACACACAGACTCAGCCGACAAGCACTCAGACAGGCACGCAAACCAGCAGACACACACACACACACAGATTTAGAAATCACAGCAGAATGCGGGAATCTCAGCAAGGCATTCATTCCAGCGGCAAATCCCAGAAATCAGCAGTGTTCTCAGTCTGTGTTTTGGCGGGTCATTACAACTAACGATCTTTCATTTCTGTGCTTTCAATTAGTGTGACATCAGAATCCGATGTCTCGGTTCTCAGTCTTGGGCCTCGCTCCACTTTTCTCCACATGCACAAAGGACAAAAAACATGGCTGTGTATCTTTCCTTGTTCTAGCGCAAGATTCTGTCTCATTTTGCACACTTGGAGAGTAGTGGACCGAGGCCCAGTGGTTGGGAAATTTAGACCCAATTAGAAGTTCGAAACAGTTGTCCTTCGGGACATCCATTAAAAGGATTGGAAGGATGCAGAGAAAGAAGATTAGCATGGTCCCAGGGCAAGGATGGACACACATAAATCGATACATGGTCCTTTTTTTTCCAAAAAGTAAAAGAAGATCGAAATAGAAGACAAGAATGGTTTGGAGGTGGAAGAGTTGGTGCCTGCATGTGTAGCGATGCAAGGAAGGGGCAGATTGTATAGGTGGATGGACAAGCAAAAACCACGACGTGATGGTCTCTACTTCTGCTCTGAGAGTTGTCCTTGCTATAGAGAGTACTGGGTGCTGTGATTAGGCCTCCACAGTGCACTGGGTGATCTGATTACGGCAGGTTTCCATGGTCCACTCAGTTCAGTCGGTCCATGGCCCCCTGTGCAAGGATGACATGCATAAATTGAGAAATGGTCCAAATTTCCACTCAGTGTCCATGGCCCCCTGTGCAAGGATGACACCCGTCATCCCCATAAATCGAGAAATGGTCCAAATTTCCACTCGGTTCAGTCGGTCCATGGCTCCATGGGCAAGGATGACATGCAGAAACCGAGAAATGGTCTAAATTTAATTGGCAGAAAAGAAAAAAAGATTTCCATGGTTCACTCAGTTCAGTTGGTGCATGGCCCCTGTGCAAAGATGACAGGCATAAATCAATATAAATGGTCCAAATTTAATTGCCAAAAAAAACAAAAAAGATTTCCATGGTCCACTCGAAAAAGAAAAAAGATTTACATGGTCCACTCGATCCTGGTGAGGGACGATTCAATGGCGAGATAAATGATCCAAATGCAATAATTAAACAAAAAAAAAGAAAAAGATTTCCACGTCCACTCGATGCTGGTGAGGTTATAATGATACGGAGAAAATTCGCTTGATTTTTTTGGATGCAGGACGTGGTTCCATTGTCAACAGCGAAAGTGATACAAATTCTGCAGATAATTATCCGACCAGAGAATCTGCCACTCTACCTTCACTGCCTTGATGGGACGCATGTCACAGGAGTTGTGGTAATTACTAATCATTGTTCCCTCTGAGCTTGCCCCGTTTTTCCTTGGTGCATTTTGTTGTTGTCACCAGTATTTCTCTTTGGGATGCCTGCAGCTGCTGTCATGCCACATGTACGGGAAGTAGAGGAAAGAAGGGCCATAGAAGGTGCAAGCATATTTTGTGCTTATGTGTACACATTTGACTGGAGTACAAAGATGTAGACACACTGGTGGTCCCTGGGGGGAGAGGGGGGAAAGGGAGGGGGCGGAAAGAGGGGGAAGTGTAGGATGCTAGGAGGAGGGGGAAAGGTCTGGGGAAATGTACGACAAAGGGTAAGAAAAGGGTGGTGGGGAGAGAGAGAGAGAGAGAGAGAGAGAGAGAGAGAGAGAGAGAGAGAGAGAGAGAGAGAGAGAGAGAGAGAGAGAGAGAGAGAGAGAGANGAGAGAGAGAGAGAGAGAGAGAGAGAGAGAGAGAGAGAGAGAGAGAGAGAGAGAGAGAGAGAGTTTTTGGAGGAAAGCTTTGGTGTGTGTGAAGACCTGAGATGTATCTGATGGGCACTCTCTATCACTGTAGCCATGTGAGTCATGTTTCAGTTGGTGCTGTAACCTCAGGTCACTTTGTCATTTCACGTTTGCAACATATCCTGTGTTTAGTCTAGCTTTCAGGACCTGGCTCTTTGCAGCAGTCGGTAGTTAGTGGATACCCACTGGCTTAGTTGTCCGCTTTCTAAATGGAGGGCAATGACTTTGAGGTATCCCCACCAAACTGGCCGAACCCCAACAATGGCTTCGAGGTATCCCCACCAAACTGGCCGACCCCAGGTATTTGAGAATTATAATCAGTTATTTCACTCATTTGATTCCATGAGAATTTGGACTCAGGTCTGTTTATAAATTGTTATATGGGTGTACTATTCAGCCACACAGGCTGGGTAGCCACTGACTTTAAAGCGAGCCAGGCTGGAATCAGTATGAAGCATGTTAAAATGCGCTGTATCGTGAGTATGTGCTATGTGCTATGTATGTACTATGTATCGTAAGTACGTGCTATGTACTAAGTATCGTGAGTACGTGCTATGTACTATGTATCGTAAGTACATGCTATGTACTATGTATCGTGAGTATGTGCTATGTACTATGTATCGTGAGTACCTGCTATGCACTGTGTACTATGTACTTATGTGCTATGTAATGAGTACTCTGTACTCTGTACTCTGTACTCTGTACTCTGTACATAGCACATAGTACTATGTACTATGTATGTATCATGATTATGTGCTAGTGAGTATTTAATACGTGCTGTATTGTGAGTATGTCCTATGTACTGTGTACTATGTAGTATGTAGTATGTACTTATGCACTAATGTACTTTGTATTATGTACTATGTATCGTGAGTACGCGCTATGTACTGTGTACTATGTACTATGTACTATGTCCTTATGAGTGCGCGCTATGTACTGTGTACTATGTACTATGTACTATGTCCTTATGTACTACGTACTATGTACTATGTACTGTGTAGTGAGTATGTACTATGTACTACTATGTACTATGTCCTTATGTACTACGTACTATGTACTATGTACTGTGTAGTGAGTATGTACTATGTACTATGTACTATGTAGCGAGTATGTACTATTGCTTGGTAACCGGCATTCACTTGTTCTTCTCTTTCCATTTTTTTATCTGTCCTCTCTTCCCTTTTCCTTTCTTTTTTTTTCCCTGTTTTTCAGGTCATGTGTTTCCGAAAGTTGCAGAGCTGGAATCTGTCCTCAGGAACGGCAGAATGTGCCAAGTTTCAGAAAGAAGGAGAGATTACGCGAGAAGAGTCGCAATTTGTGGAGTCGTTTCGGGGAGAGATTGATATTCCTCCCGTGATCCCTCAGTGGCTGTGGCAGGTATATGCTCTTCGACAGCCTGTGCTGCTCGTGATTTGTAAGCAGATTGACTGCATTCTGCTGAATGGCTTTTTGTTATAGGCAGGCTAAATCTCCGCTCCTGTGTTTTTCCCCCTTTTTCCTTTTTCCTTTTTGAAGTGCCACCACCTTTCACACATATCAGCCACCGGGCGAGGCTCCGGGAGGTTTGACGGAGGGCAGTGACACACCGCCACCGCCGATGGAATGTATCAACGGCGGGTCCAGCCTCCTGAAAAATATCCTAGCTTACCTAGGCTTCATTTCCGTGCGCACGGGTACCCCCGGCACGCACGGCCGTGCGAGTCCCCCGTACGGGCCCCGTGCGGCCCCTGCGCGGTGTGCTTGGGGGGCAGTTCTGGGGACGGCGGGCCCAGTTCCAGCATCGTGCAAATTTTTTAAGGCCCCCCCACACCGGGGGGGCCTTAAAAAATTCGATCTTGGACTCGAGATCTTAGCCGTAGATCTTCGAAGATCTACGGCGGAGATCCGTCGAGGATCTCCCCACGACCTGCGCTTTTTCGAAATCGAGTTCGAAATTTCGAACTGCGCAGGCCTGAGGACGGGGGTCCCCCGTGTTGCCACTCCGCCTGCCATTTCGTCGCCGTTGCCGTTGTCGGTCAGGTCGCGCCATTGCCCACCTCCCACGCCCGTAGCTGCTCCCTGACACATCTTCCCGGGACCATCGCCGCTCTTCTTCGTCGCTTCCCAGGGCCTTCGCCACTCCTTCGCTTCTCCCCAGGGCCGTCGCCGTTGCCCAGGGCTGTCGCTGGTCCCATGAAGTGAAGGTAAGTGGTCTTCTTCCTCTTCGTCTTCTTCTTCTTCTTCTTCTTCTTCTTCGTTAAACTTGTCCACCCTCCTCCTCCTCCTCCTCCTCCTCCTCCTCGTCCTTCGTCTTCTTCTTCTTCGTTCAACTTCTCTGTGTGCTTGTCGTCCTTCACTTCTCTCCCGCCACTTCGTTCCTTCTCTTCCGCCATCATCCACCTCCCTCCCGCCACTCCGTTTCTGCTCTTCTGCCATCTCCCGCCACCTCCCACTACCCCTCCTGCTACCTCCCACTAACCCTCCCACTAGCCCTCCCACTAACCCTCCCACTATCTCCCACGTCCCTCCCACCATCCTCCGCCTCCCTCCCGCCAATCCTCCGCCTCCTTCCCGCCACCTCCTACCTCCCCTCTCACTTCCACTTCCCTCTCTCCTCCTTCCACCTCCCTCCCGCCATCTCCCACCTCCCTCTCTTTCGCCATCTCCCACTTAACTCCCGCCACCTCCTACCTCAATCCGGCCATCTCCCACCTCCCTGCATGCAACGTCCTACCTCCCTTTCGCCACCTCCAACCTCCCTTTTGCCATCTCCCACCCTCCTCTCTCCATCTTCCACCTCCCTCTCGCCATCCCTCACCTCCCCGCCAGTGTGGAAAAGGCTGATTCGGGCACATCTCTGCATGCGCAACGGCCCCCCATCACCTTTTTTTTTTTTTTTTTTTTTTTTTTTTTTTTTTTTTTTTTTTTTTAAATAACTCGCGCGGGTGACCCGTGCATGTCTTCCTCTTTTGAAAGGAGGTGCGACAGTAGTCCCTGACCTTAATTGTATGCATTCATCTGATTCCATCAGTCCATCTACTCTTGAGAACCGGAAACATGGTTTATACTTTCATGATCAGGGTGCATTGTGTTCGGGGGAAGACGATAGCCTCCTATCACACGTTTCCTCTAGTCTTGAGAAACCTTTCAGCTCTCAAGTGATTGCACGCCTGAGTTGCACTGAATAGGTGCTGTGTTCAAGGCCTGCACTCAAGTTCATTTTCAGAGGAAGGGACATCCGAGCCCCTGTCCTGGCCAAGAAATGAAACTAGCTTGCCAAGGGGGGGGATCACCAAATGCCACGGGAAGAGCATCGGCAGAAGGCGCGAGTAAAAGGTTAAGCAAAACTAACTTCTCAAATTAATTTTCCGAGGAAGGGACATCTGAGCCCCTGTCCTGGCCATGAAATCAAACTACCACACCAGGGGGGGCAATCACCAAATGCCATGGGAAGAGCATTGGCGGAACTCGTGAGTAAAAAGATATGCAACACTAACTTGATTGGAACGAGGAATAGGACCGGGAATGTGGAACGTAGGTACTTTGGTAGAAGGATGCAAGTTTTATGTGAATGTCATCAGAAATACTGGTGCAACGTCGGTAAGACTCCCTTTTGATGCTTTCGGGCATTGAAGAGAGAGTCAGCGTGCGTGACTCTCACGGTCGGTCAGTGGTGTGTGCGGCGGTTTTTGGGTGTGAGGCAAGACGGGGGTGACGGTTGGTGTTACACGGCCAAGCGCTTGTAACTTCCTTACCTTCTTTGGTTTGGCTTATGACAGCAGCTTGATGCTGTGACTACTATGGTTTCACTGTGTGCTTGGCCTTCTTGTGTGTTTTTGCATTGCGACTTGCGTGTCAACTTTGCTTCTTCTTGAACACAGCACCCATTGCGTAACTTTTTACTTGCAAGGGAAAATAACTCTGAACAATTTTGGAGTGCCCAAGGTGATTGAATTGGTAGGGTTTGGGCTAGCAGCCTAGCTCTGTTGGTAAGAGCACGTAAGTGGCATTCAGGACGTCGTGGGCTCGATTCCCCATGTCATCCATTCGACTGCCCACGCTCCCCTGTGGCGCACTTCTGGTGCACCAGCTGAGATAGTTTGCTTGCCCCCCCGGGTTGGTCTTGGTGGGGAATGCCCCACCTCCCATCCAGCATCAGGGGTTAGGTTCAACCCTAAGGGGGTAGACTCAACCCTGAGGATGGTTCAACCCTGTGGGGTTAGGGGGCCTGGGAACCCATAATTCTCAGCGGCAATTCTTATACGAACAGTACAAATTGGTATTTAGCTGGTGGCTAGGGTGAGGTTGTTTCAATGTTCAGAGAAGAGATTAGTGTAGGGCACAAAAGGCTGTCACCTGTTTGAGGCGCATACAGGTCGTCGCCCTTTCCTTCTTTTTGTTTTTCCGTATGCTTCTCAGAGTTTCTTCTACTGCTGTTGCTCCACCTGGTTGTCCTCCGGACTACTGAACAGAAATGACAGGTAACAGTGGGATCTAGCACTGTTGATTTGGTGTAATAGCCGTTTTGTGCTAACGTTATTTTCCGAGGTGCACTTGCAGCCCCCAAGGTCATTTTGTGCCAGATGCTCTGCCTGGGCCTCTATGATGAGTTGACCCTTCTTTTTATGTTGGCCGTGCTGCAGGGTTGCCGAACTGTTCGTCATCCGACATTCCGGCTAAGGTTGCTTCCCCCCCCCCCACTGCCAACTGAAAAGTCAGATGACTCAGAGAGCAGCACTGGGAGCTCCAGCCAGAAGAGCGAGGGACCGAACACTCCACGACCATCTAATACGAGCACGAAGACCGGAAGTTTTTATGAAAGGGGTTTTGGCAGACCAAGAAAAGCACTTTAGTGTTAAGCGGCTCCGGAATGACGCAGGTAGGAACTAGCTGTCAGGACACCCCTCTCTTGCTTCTGGCCTGAGAGAGAACAACTGCTGAGTACAAGTAACAGGATTGGCTCCCGCCGTTCTGCCCCGGGAGGGTGGGACACAGATATAAGGGAGGTAGGTGAGCTACTGATCTGGGGGGGATTGCTGGTAGATACATATGTGAGGCTTACGATCGATCCGAGGGTCCAAATCCAACTGGAGACCCAGAGCGAATCACAGATTGGGGGGGGGGGGGGGGGGGGGGGGGGGGGAGGCAAGAGCTATTTGTTTGGTAGAGATACTGTTAGGCACGAGCTATTTGTTTGTGTAGAAATAGGGTTTCTGAAATTTGACATACTTGTGAAGTTTTCAACTGATGATTGATTTTCAATATGGAACAACTCATCGCCGAAGTTTCGTTTCCACTTTGTATGGGGGGGAGGCAAGAGCTATTTGTTTGGTAGAGATACTGTTAGGCAAGAGCTATTTGTTTGTGTAGAAATACGGTTTCTGAAATTTGACATACTTGTGAAGTTTTCAACCGATGATTGATTTTCAATATGGAACAACTCATCGCCGAAGTTTCGTTTCCACTTTGTATGCTCGAAATCTGTTGACGGATTTATGAGTGTGAATTGGAACCTGGTTTATCTCACTGATGTGGCTTTTGGCAGGAGACTGGCTATCGGTATCCTCTTTCCCTCTATCGAGGGCGGGTTAGCTAAATATAGATGAATATAGATGCATTATAGGTGATGATTCAGGTCATCAGAAGTGCCTTGTCAGTCTGAGGGTTTGGTATCTCATCTCTCTGTGTCGTTTTAGTAAACGTATGTTCTTTTCTTTCTTTCTTCTCCCCCCCCCCCTCATGGTAGATCACTGTAGTAAACATATGTTATGTTTTGGTAATCCAGTTTGTACCACCGTCTTCGCCCAAAAATAACGCCCAGGTGTTATATTCGACTTCCCTAAAAAGATCAGTTTTCGTTTTTACAGTTTTACTCACATTTTTTCAAATAGAACGCCCCTCTGAATATAATGCGTTATGTTCGAATAGAACTCCGGGGCGGTATATTTGAATGTTCCATGGGCAGAGTGCCTTGTAGAGGTAGTATACATGGGTTTTGAAGGCCAGAAATGGGGGTAGTATACATGGGTTTTAAAGGGGGTTGAAAGAGGTTTTGACTTCCAAGGGAAATGTTTTTTTTTTTTTTTTTTTTTTTTTTTTTTTGAGTTTGTAAGGAATTCTGAAGTGACCCTCAGCAGAAAGTCAATTCATTCATATATGCAAGTACAATGATTGAAAGCGAGAAGCACAAATCCAGATTGCAATTACACGAAAATAGCCAAGAGTCTCATAAAGAACCAGCGAGCAGAAATGCACTTGAAATCACTAATGTACAGTACAATGATGAACAGTATCGACAATGTAGCCGTTTGCCGTCATCAGCAACACATGAGAGTTATACTCCCATCTGGCGCACAGCACCCAGCCTACTCCTAGCCCATCTACTCTTAGCCTATCTACGTTGCAGACAACCAGCCAAATCAGCACTGAAGTCGGAGCACATGAAGAATGTTGCCCAAATGCAGACCTTTGCATGACTCCCGATGACCTCGCTCTTTACCTCTCGCTCTCTTCTTCATCCCTCGACTTCCCTCAACGCACTACCGCCGAAGGTCCACCATATCCACCACCATCAGTGTTGGCCAGAACGCCTGGCTATGGCGCCTCTCACCCAGCAGCTACCAGAGCAGCTGCTCGTCCAGCGCTACGGCACGCACACACAAGGGCTAGCCAGGCAGTGTGAGACACAGTAGCGTGACCGCATTGACTGCCAGCAGCCCGAATGCCCTCGAGTTAGCCCTGCCTTGCCTATATGGTGCTGTGTGCGACCTGGACCGGTCCCAGTCGGGGTCATCGCGTGCGGCCCGCGTATCCAGCATGCAGGCCCAGTTTCAAGCTGCTTCCAGGGCCTGGTACCGACAGTTAGGTTCAGGCAACTGTGTGCCTTTGGACGTCAAGCTCACACGGACCCAGCATTACGTGCTCAACCAACTGGCGTCTGGTAACTGTCTGGCGCCCCCAATATTCTCAGAGACTCTCGTCCTGGCCAAAAATGGAAATTGACAGGCCCTCCCTCACTTAGTGCGCCCTGGAGCTGTCTTTGGGGTCCCGGTTTTGCTGTGAGGGGCCTGAACCTCGCATTCCCTCCTCCTCAGAATTGATAGTCCTTTGAGATGCTCTTCTTTTTTTTTCGCTCTGCACAGCCTTCCCCTTCAACCTTCTTTCAGACTCAGTGACGATCTGTTGTGCAGTCCTGATCAGTTCCTCCTTGGCATTCCAGCGATCTTTTGCAGGATCAATGTGATGCCTGAACCTCACGTGATACTCTCGGGGTGGTCTAGAAGGTCTTCCTCTGCCAACGGGTTTTGCTGGAGGAAGGTTGCGATGTCCCACAATATCGTCGATGTCAACTTGGCCTTCTTCCATGGTGTCTCCTTGAAGGAAATTCTTGTGTTTCTGCAAAAGGTGCCAGCTTGGAGGCATGGAATACAGGGTGAGTGCGTAGATGCCTTGGGACTATCAATGCTCTGGAGCTGTCTTTGGGGTCCTGGTTTTGCTGTGAGAGGCCTGAACCTCGCATTCCTTCCTCGTTAGCATTGATAGTCCCCTTTGATATGCTCTTCTTTTTTTTTGTCCCTCTGGACAGCCTTCCCCTTCAACATTCTTTCAGACTCAGTGACGATCTGTGGTGCAGTCCTGATCAGTTCCTCCTTGGCATTCCAGCGATCTTCTCCAGAATCAATGTGATACCTGAACCTCACGTGATACTCTCGGGGTGGTCTAGAAGGTCTTCCTCTGCCAACGGGTTTTGGTGGAGGAAGGTCGTGATATCCCACAATATCGTCGATGTCAACCTGGCCTTCTTCCATGGTCGGGGGCAGCATGGATCTCCTTGAAGGAATTTTTTATGTTTCTGCAAAAGGTGCCAGCTTGGAGGCATGGAATACAGGGTGAGTGCGTAGATGCCTTGGGACTCTGACGTTAGAGGGCCCATCTATATCTGTTCCCATTATGTCTAGTACCTCCCACGGTCCAAAATACTGTGGCATTAGTTTCCTACATACGCCGAACTCCTGTCCTAGCTCTGCAGACTTAACGGAGACACATTCCCCTACCTGAAATGTGGACTGTCGGCGATGCTTGTTCTCGAAAGCAATCATTGCTGCCTGAGACTTGATGCAAATGGTCAAAAGCCTCTTCAAGCATCTTCTCGTAGTGGACTGCAAGGCTCCAGGAGCTGCTGTTGGTTGGCTTCCCGGAAGGAGGAAGTCGATTGGAGTTAGTGGCTTCCAGCCAATATGCAGATTGATAGGGGTCTTGCCTGTTGTGCTATGAACAGCGTTATTATACAGGCTTGCGACGAGGGGCAACTGCTTGTCCCAGTCGTCCTGACTACTTGATGTAGTGCCGCAAGAGATGCTGCACTGCAGGGATCATTTGCTCCGCCTGGCCATTGGCCTCCGGGCGATTACCCGAGGTCATCTGCATTCGGCTGCCCATTTTTTCAGCAGTTTGCTTCCAGAGCTCACTCGTGAAGCAGACATCTCTATCGCTAACGATAGTACGGGGTAGAACGAAATCCCGTACCGAGTGTTTCATAAAGAGTTTGATGATATCTACGATGACATACTCATACCTCTTCCCACTCTTGCTGCTGACCAGCGTATCCATGAAATCCGTGGACACAGTTTCACCTGGTCCAGCAGGAATTGGAAGGGGTTTGACCAAGCCAAGTGGTGCTTGTGTTCACAGCTTGTCCCTCTGGCACACTTGGCAGGTCTCTGTGTATTTTCTTTGCGTCATCGTACACGTTAGGCCACCAAAACCTCTGAATGAGGTTTGCACAAGTCTACTTGTAGCCGAAGTGGCCGGTCGCGTTGTGACACTCCCTTAAAAATAAACTACGCAAAAACTCATTTCACGGAACACAATCTTTTTGTCCCTGCTTGTTCAAGAAAAAGCGACCCCTCCACCATTGACTCGTCCAAGGTTTTCTTATCCTTGGAGTCGAGTTTGCGAATGATGTCCATCATGACTGGGTCTTCCTTGTAGGAAACCAGGTTTGTGTTATTGCATCGGTTAAGCCAAACTCAGTTATTAATGCCCCCAGGTAGTCAGCTCTACAAGACAAGGCGTCAACAACCTTGCTATACTTGCCCTTTATGTATTCTACTTCGAACTCGAACTGGTCGATATACTCGATCCAGCGCTTCAAAACGTCAGACAAGGCAGACCAAGTCTTAATCGTTTTTAGAGTCTGATGGTCAGTTCTTAAAATAAAGAATCTGCCCAACAAATAGTGCCTCCAATGGGTCAAGGCCTTGTATAGAGCGAATAACTCTCTCTTGTAGATGGACTTGGCTAACTTTTGAGATGGCATCTTCTTGCTCATGTATTCTACTGGTCTCAACTTTGGCCCCTCCTGCTGAACTAGTACGATGCCTATGCCATATTAGCTTGCGTCAGTTGTTACTATAGATAGCTTATTCGGATTTGGAAGCTTAAGGACATCATGATTGGTTAGAACATGCTTCAGTTTCCTGAAGGCTGTTTCACAATCATCAGTCAATTCCGAAGGGGTGTCAAGACATGTTAGATCAGTCAAGGGGCTCAGAATCGAACTGCAGTTCTTAACAAACGGGCGGTAGTACCCCGTTATCCCCAAGAAAGATCTGACCTCAGTAACAGTTCGAGGTAGTCAACTCCCAAGGGGTGTCAAGACGTGTTAGATCAGTCAAGGGGCTCGCAATGGAACTGTAGTTCTTAACAAACGGGGGGTAGTAACAGTTCGAGGTTGCGGCCAGTGCCTGATACTAGCCACTTTCGCATCCTTGGGCTTGCGTCCCTGTGCGGACACTCCATGACCTAAGTAAAGGATCCTGGTGCATCCAAACTCGCATTTCTCCAGGTTTACCTTAATTTTGTGTTGCCGCAAGAGGCCTAATACAATGTCTTAAGTGTTTAGGGTGCTCCGTGGTAGACTTACTAAAGATAAGTATGTCATCCAAGTACATGACTACAAACTTATCTAAGTAGTCATGAAAGATCTGATTCATAGCGTGCTGGAATGTTCTCGGCGCATTGCATAGGCCAAAAGGCATTACCACAGACTCGTACATACCGTACCTGGTTTGAAATGCCGTTTTGTGTTGATCCTCGGATCTAATCGCAATCTGATGGTAGCCAGATTTCAAGTCTATCTTAGAAAAGTACTTTCATCCCTGCACACGATCCAGCTAGTCGTCTATGTGCGGTAGGGGCTCGGCATTCTTCACGGTGATGGCATTGAGACCCCTATAATCAATGCGCATCCTTAGAGTGCCTCCCTTCTTTGGCTCAAATAAAACGGGTGATCTGTAGGGAGATCCAGCCCTTCTCTATTAGCTCCTTCAATTGTTTGCGAAGCTCGTCAAGCTCCGCGGGTGCCATCCTATAGATTCTTCCTTTAGGTGTTCTACTACCAGGGACTATCTCTATTGCGTGGGCTACTTCTCTTCCCACAACTCCTGAGGGCTCCTAAAAAAGGTCCGGATCCTTAGTGATGATGCTTTCTATCTTTGGAGGGGTTTCTACGGCCTTTCCCTTCTCAGAGACATAGACTGGGTACATTCCCTCCTTAGTTATAGAATGATTGGGCAGACAGGCAGCAATAGGATGCCATTATACTAGTAGGGCCAAGATACTTGGCCAGTCTAACCGTCTGTCCATCCGGTAACTTGTACAGCACCAGTTTTCGATCCCAGTCGAACTGGGGCTTGGTAACTTCGGGGTAGGA